CGTCATCAGGGGGTGTGGGGCACCGTGTCATCAGTATGCTGATGACACACAGCTCTACATCTCCTTTCTTCCAACTGCAGGTGATGCTGTTCTGTCCCTCCAGCCCTGCCTGGGGACCGTACTGCAATGGATGCAGGAGAACGGGCTGAGGCTGAACCTGGACAAGACGGAGGTCCTGAGGGTGGGTGCCCCCCAGTTGGTGGCTTGGGTGACTCCCTCTCGTTTGGGAGGATGACCCTTGCAGCAAAGAGTGGGGTCCGCAGTCTGGGGATCCATCTGAACCCTGCGCTCTCCATGAAGACCCAGGTGGCGTCTGCACCGCCTTTTTCTACCTTTGGCGGATAGCCCGGCTGCAACACTATCTTGATGTGGGGGCGCTCACCACCTTGGTTCATGCGCTTGTAATCTCGAGTTTAGACCACTGTAACACGCTCTACGTGGGGCTCCCTTTGAAGCTGACGCGGAAACTTCAAGTGGTGCAGAATGCGGCGGCCAGACTTCTAAGTGGAGTGAGAAAATTCCAACACATCTCACCCACCCTGGCTGCACTGCATTGGCTGCCCATTTGGTTCCGCATCGACTTCAAAGTGTTGATGCTTACTTATAAACCTCTAAACAGTTTAGGACCCCGATACTTGTCGGAACGCCTACTCCCACCAAGAACTATCCGTATCACTCGCTCAAGTCAGGAGGTGAGGCTGAGAAGCCTGACGCCAAGGGAGGTCCGAAAGGAAAAGACAAGAAATCGGGCCTTCTCAGAGGTGGCTCCTCGCCTCTGGAACAACCTTCCTCCAGAGATTCGCGAGGCCCCGTCGCTGGGTATTTTTAAGACCCATCTAAAGACTTGGATGTTTAAGCAGGCTTTCCCTCCAGATAATACTTAATCTTTCCTTCTCTAATTTAGTCCTTGATATTGCCATCTTGAAGATTATGTTTATTGTTTGCTGCTTACTGTTTAGTTTCTAGTATATTATTGATTTTTACTTTTTATTGTTATATGTATATGTGACTGTATTTATATATCTGGAAGCCGCCTAGAGTGGTCATATTGACTAGATAGGCGGGGTACAAATAAAATAAAATAAAATAAAATAAAATAAAATAAAATAAAATAAATAAATAAATAAATAAATAAATAGGAAAGAAAGAGAAACATGGGACTAAAACATGACACTCCCTACCCCCACCGTTCATGTGAATACAACCCCAGTATTAATGACCACCCTCAAGCAAATGGAAGCACACTTTTTCCCCAACCACCTGGTAGCTATTGCAAAAGAGAAGGCAGGAGGTGAGAAGTAAGAAGGGGAGGGGCACACTTGGACTAATCAGATCAAACAAGAGCAATGTGTTTGACTAGGCTGCAACTTCAGGAGCCACAGGAGTCATTTCCATGTGAAAGGAAGGAGCAATCTAATCAACCCACACTGTTCAAAAGTGATCCAGACTAGATTGCTCTCTGTCACTAATGTAGCCGTATCCTTTGACAGGAATTGAGTTGACTCACAAAGTCTCCACTAGACCTATTCTAGTTGTGACTTACGACTGAATTTCAGCCAAAATACATTAAAACTCTGTGAGGAAATGGGTTTTGTAGTACTTGTTTTTTCAGTTTGCACAGGTGGCATAGCCTGGCCAGAAAAGTGGCTTGTTGTCTGGCAGAAGTTCACTTCAAGCTTACAGCCCAAGAGTGATAAACACTGGATTCCATCTTACCCTGTTTCCCCGAAAATAAGACCTAACCTGAGAATAAGCCCTAGTATGATTTTTCGGAATGCTTGAAATATAAGCCCTACTCCAAAAATAAGCCCCTGTTAAGTGAAAGCCTGCCCTCCACCACTGTGCAGCCACCATAAGAACGCATCCCCTGAAAATAAGCCCTAATGCGGTTTTTGGAGCAAAAGTTAATATAAGACCCTATCTTATTTTCAAGGAAACACGGTAATTGCTTACCAGCCTGGGAATGAGAGACTGGGCTTTGGAAAGTTGGGTGTGGACTTGTGAACAAAGGACTTTACACTGACTGGATACTATCATGATGCAAAGACTTTGATTTAAGTTAGAGAAAGGGGGCTAAGTATGCCAGAGAAGGAGGAGTGACAGGTTTTACAGCCTTTGTTGATTTATTAGGAGATTTAGCAAAGGTAAGGTAGAATAGCAAGGTGATTAAGGAGGACATCCATTAGGATAGGTTTTTATTGTTTTCTTGGGGAATTGCTTTCAGAAGCTTATCTAAACCTTAGAGGCTTGGCACTTTAATAGTACAATTTGTAACTCTTTTGAATATCTTATGTTTTACAACTTTTTAATCTTTTTAAAATAAAGTTTATTTTATATTTTACCCAAGTGTGATCCTTAGAGGAACATAGGTTTGAGTGTCTAATGGAAGTGCCTTAGCCACAGGGCTATGCTGGCTATTTACAGTGGACCTTTGACTTACAGACGGCTTGACTTACAGACTTTTTGAGTTACAGACTTCTCTGGCCGCAAAATTTAGGTTTGACTTGCAGACTGAGATTTGACTTACAGACCAGAAAAAAACCCAAAATGGAACAAAAACGGCCTGTTACGGGATTAATCGGTTTTCAATGCACTGTAGGTCAATGGAGGCTTGACTTACAGACTTTTTGACTTGAGAACCGCCTTCCAATACGGATTAAGTTCTCAAGTCAAGACCCCACTGTATGTTCTTTTGGGTGTCCTACTTGGTCAGGCTGGTGTGCAATGCTTAAAGTACACAGCCAACGATATTTTATCCCAAAACAAGGGAATAAGTAGAAATCTAGGGACAGAAGTTTGCCCATGGTTGCCCATTCACACAACTTCCAGGTTTCATCCAGCCTAGGATTCAAAGGGTGGTGGAATTTGGGAACTAAAGTTGGCACCTTTCTTTAGTGGAATAGCACCCTTTAAGGAGGGGCATTCTTGACACTCTGTATAAAACGTAAAAGTAGGCATGTGCTTTCTTTCAGCTACTACAAAAACATCAGTGATAACCTATACAATCAATCCACATATCATTTGTCAATTTGATGCTACTTTAATACAAAAACCCTGCTCTTTCCAGAGCTATAACATTTATTGTTCATAAACAGTATGTCGTAAAAGAACTTTATAGCTGTATAAGCCATAATGAGCCTAGACGGCAACAATCCCAGCACAAAGTTTTAGATTAATTTATTTAAGTACTCAGTTTCTCTGGTTGGACACACAAAAAACCAGAATCTCTTGTCTTTACCTTATTACCATTGACAGCTGGTACATGAAGTACAAGATGAGTCAAAGAAGGATAGTCTTGAAGTTTCAGAGTCACAGTCTATAAAATAATATATGCAATAGTAAACTTTTCCAAGACAGTCATATTACATGTCTTCCTTTAAAACTCCTAAACAGCCAACTATGCAAGTTACAGCACAATGACTGGAAAATGAAACAAACACAACTTGGTTAACAAAGAAGATGGAGAACACAGCAGAAGACTTCTAATGTCACATGGCCAACTATGGAAAGGCACACAGATAACCCTTACATAACCACAACAAATATATAATCTAAAGCAGGGGTCAGGAAACTTTTTTACATTTTACCCACTAAAAATGTATATACGCTGACATTACCCCCTTGATTTGAAAGGAAGGTTCTCGGTCATACATGGCCAGTCGAGCGCCACCACTGAAGCCTCGCTGCCTGGGCCTCCTCCTCCTCCTCCTCTGCTGCTTGGTGGGGCCATGCTCAGTCCTTGGCCCTGCAGGGGCAGCTCCATTTCTCCTCAAGTAGGCGGCTCCTGGGCAGCTGTCGAAGAGCAGCAGGTGGTTTGCCCTCCAGGGGGCATCCACCACCACCTCCTGCTCCAGCACCGGCTCTGGCGGCTGTTTGCTGGGGCGGCCACAGGCCTCACTGACAAAGTGCCGCAACAGCTGTAGCACGGAAGGCAAGACACTCCTCCAGGCCCAGCCGGCCAGTGTGGAGGCACCGCCGAAGGAAGCTGTGCAGGTGGGCGAGTGCTGCTGCCACCCGACGAGCTCCTCTGGGGACAGGGTGTGGGGCAGAAGCCCAGTGCCAGGAGGTTGCACCTGGCCTGGGCCACCATCATGGCCGCACCCTTCCCCCTCAGCCACGATCCACCTCTCCAGGCACTGGAAGGAGAGGCTCCTCCTGGCTGGGGCGCTCCAGCCATGCACCCCGCCCTTGCCCTCCATCATGGCTGGCCCCGCCGCCACCTTGGCTGCCGTACGTCGCCAGCCAGGACCCGTCGCTGGCCATCATCCACTGTGGTTCGGTTGCAGCTGGGCCAGAGAAGGGGGTGGGAAGGGGGATGATCAGGCTTCCGGTAATGCCCCCTCTGGGCAGAATTGGTGGAGGAGGAGGAGGAGGAGGGAAGGGGGTTAGGGTCGCGTCCTCATTACCCCCAGGATTTTCATTTTTACCCCATTTGGGGTAATTTACCCCTGTTCCCTGACCACTGATCTAAAGACTCATAAACTCTTGCCTTTAATACCATTTTGTGAAACCATCCAATAAAGACTACACTATCACAATTTTTCTGAGCTTTATATTTATATTATATATAATACATTTATATTTTAATTAAAAACTTCAGTACTACAGTTACACTGCATGTGAAATCATACTGATTTTTAAAAGTTAGTTCTGCCTATTAGGTTACACACCATATATACAGTTATATGGTTTTAAAATGCCAAATAAATAAAATCAAAGTAGTTGCTTACTTTCAGGGGAAACATAGTGCTATCTTACCTTAACTGTTGGTAGCAATTCGGCTTTCCAAGTCAAATCCACACCTTGCAGACTGTAAAAATTATACTGAGATGAAACAGATACTATGCATAGAACTTCACTATATACATATAGTGCACCATAATTGCCGGCGTACAAGGTGACTGGCCGTATAAGACGACCCCCCAACATTTCCACTAAAAATATAGAGTGGATGGCTCTGCTGCAGCGACGCCAGCGGTGGCTGCCTGGGGCTCTGCCCGGGCCCGCCCTGGAAGTTCATGGCCGGCGGGGAGGAGGGCGAGGAAGAGGGGAAGCAGCTGGGCGGATGGCCAAGTGAGCAGCTGGCTCAGCAGCGAGAGGGCGAGGAAGAGGGGAAGTGGCTGGGTGGGTGGCGG